GGGGACACACACCCTGTAGGCTGCTCTACATTAAGCTTTGGCTATCTTCACAAAGGAGCTCTAGTGGCGTGGTGGGCTATGTGTTGGGCTCCTGACCACAAATTCAGCAGTTCAAATCCACCGGGCCCTCCCGGGGAGAAAGATGAGGCTTTCTGCTCCCATAAAGATTTGCAGACTCAGAAACCCACAAGGGCAGTTCTACCCTGCCCTGACAGCCTCTTGTGTCAGAATTGAGCCCATGGCAGTGAGCGAGTTTCACAAAGATGACTGGGCCCCTTACACGTCGCAAGATTAGTGCCTGGCATCAGTGCCTGGCATACAGGAAAGGGAGGCACTCTATCCTCTTAAACAAGAGTCCTGTATCCCTGCTGCTAGGATGGAATCTCCCACCAGTTCCCCACACAGGGTCTTCTACTGTAAAGCAATACCAGTCTCAGTGCATTGTAGTCAAGCCTGGTCCTGTTCTGATACAGCACAGACCTGACAGTCACCTCTGATTTGTGAATATTGTGCTCGTGCAATGCCCCCCTTCTTGTCTAGGGCTTTTTCTTTGAGCTATCTGGAGATCGTGTACGCTAGGAGAGAAAAAATGACCCAGCAACCATGTTGATAAAAGTGTATTGATTGCCTAATGTGGAGTCTTAATCCAAGCTGATCATAAGTGCTGATCTCCCTGTCTATTTTATTTTTACGATGTGGAACTATTCTGGCTTCCTACATGTTATGAAATAAGGGCAGGCATCAAAAGTTATGGGAGTCGGTTTCTGTGCTGTTTCTCTCAGGTGCCATTCTACTGGGCTGGTTATCGAAGTTGGTAGATTAGCTCAGCCTTGGGTATGAAAACTGCCGCTAGCTGGGTTTTTCTGGCATCCCTTGGACCTGGAAGTGACACCTGGATAATTAATAAAAACGGACATTGGCGCTGGAGACAAACTGTCTGTTGACACCCATGATATGAAAAGACACTTAAAAGGTCTTCAATTCTAACATCAATAAAAGGTTTGGGTTTTCCGCCACAATCGCTTCCTCTTCAAGGGCATTTTACAGCAGTGTGTGGACAGACTTGTGCACCTGCCAGCGCGGTGCCTTTGTTTTCTACCTCTAAGTATAAGGTGACCAGACATCCCGCTTTTGGCGGGACAGTCCCGATTTTTAACAATTTTTCACGCGTCCCACGGCATTTTTAAAAAGTCCCAATTTGTGGAAAGCATGCACGACAAGCTAGGGTATATGGTTTTCGGCTGCCATGTGGCTATTTCACTAGGATATGAGTTTTATCAATGGGGTCCCGCTTTACCAATGTTAAAATCTGGTCACCTTATCTAAGTACCACCAGCAGAAGGTGCACAAGGGTGTGCTCTTGGGGGTACGGCCTTTCCCATAGCACCCAGGGCATTTCGGAAGTGCCTGCGCAGGGAAAGAGCCTGAGGCACTCCTGTGGAAAGGGAGAGAGGGACTCACAGAGGAAGGACGGACACGTTCGAAATCTGGGGAGAGAATGTTCCCTTGGACGGCCCTCCCTGGCTTTCACAGGTCAAGTCTAAATTCTGGGACCCTTCCCATGAGTTAGGTAGCTCTTTTTCATCTGGCTGGAGACTTTTTAAAGAAAGAAAAAGAAAAGTAAAAGAAACCTCTTCTTTTAATTCTCACGGGCCTTCTTTAAAAGCCTGAGACATGCGAACTTCTCCCTTCCTGTTGAGACAACTGTAAATGCCATCCTTCTGACTGGAGCAATTTCCCACTTCTTCCCACTCCTTTCAGCATCTTACCAAAGGGACAGAGCAAATTCCAGGGTGTGGGAATACTGGGGAGGCGGGTGTGTGTGTGTGTGTGTGTTGGAGGGGAGAGGGGGGCTGGCACAAGATCAGCAATTAATATAGAAGGAAGCGCTGCAGAAATTAATGCTGGGATCTGGGGAAAACATACATTAGAACACTGGCTTGTTCTAATGCAACTTTTCAAGCGTGGGGGGGAGACCCCGACAGACAAAATCCCATATCTCCATTCCTAGCTATCGATCCCTGGTCAGAGCAGCTGGGCCAAATGCACAAGTGTCCTTAGACAGACCATTGTTCACATGGGAGGGGGAGGAGTGGGGGCAAGCTGTGAGGCGTCCACAACCGTGTGGCGTGGCTAAAAGAGGAAAGACCACACACACAGAGCACGTGCACTTGAGAGCAGGTTCTAGGATGCAATGCGGTTGACCTTGAACAACACGGGTTGGAATTGTGCGGGTCCACGTACACAAGGATTTTCTTTGCTTTCAAATGCTGGATGACGTTAACCATTTCTGCACGAGCAGCTCTTCTGTCCAGTCCCTTTCGCATTTAAGCACCCCGTGACCGTGCGCGGCATTTTTCATACCGTGTTTAGGAAAATGCCAGACACCTTGAAGAACAGCCTGAGGCGCTGGCAGTGCCCATAAGAAGCAGAGAGAAGTCATGGCACTCGACAAGAATTGCTTGATCTATGCTGTACTTTGAGATTTGCCATTAGAGTTGCCCACTGGCTAAGACCTCAAGGTAAATGAATCCTCAAGATAAATGAATCCTCAAGGTAAATGAATCCTCAAGATAAATGAATCCTCAAGATAAATGAATCTAGCATAAGGACTGTTGTTAAAAAAGAAAGAAAACGAAATTCCTGGAGCCGTAGCTGCAGTCATGGCAGCAGGCACTTGCAATGTTTTGCCAAATACCTTATGATTCCATATTGAAAGTGCACTTTTTGCCTGCGTGAAGTGCATAACACATGTCACGTGCAAACAATATGTGTTATTAATCGGCTGCGTACATTATCAGAAAGGCTTCCTTGTGGTTTACAGTAGGCTATCAGTAGTTAAGTTTATGGGGAGTCAAAAGTTATATCTGGATTTTCAACTGCACACAAGGTCCTTCCAGCATCCAGTGTAATGAGAGCCGGAGAGCTGGCTCAGGTGAGCAGACACCATTGAGTTGACTATGAACAGGTTTGCCATCAGTAAGTAGGGCTATAGGCTCCTACGCAGGCAGGTCCTTTAGGGGCACTGCCTATGAAACAGGATCCCGAGATTGGGCTGAAACCAAGTGGTACACATTTCTTACGATAGCTACACGATGCCCAACTGGTACCTGTGCCAGGCCAGCCACAGCAAAGAACGTCAAGTGAACACGACCACTAAAGGTCTTTGTCTCTGTTGCAAGCTTGCAAAAGTGCCCCCCCCCCCCAACGTTTTCTTTGCCTACACACTCAGCTGGCCATCGCCTGGTGACCTGTGAGGCCGAAACCCCTGATGAAGAACGCCCTTATGCAATTTCTCCTCCTATCTCTTTCCTTCGTGAATAATTTAGTTCGACAGCCCTTAGGTCGAACCAAGCAAGATGAGAACCTACACTGGGAGTGGGAGGAGTCACTGTGGCTCCGACTGGAGTGAGAGAGATGATCATGGGGGGAACCCAGAGGGGATGGCCCGGGGTCTAGTGTGGGAGCTCTCAGTGGGGTGTGCGAGGTGCTGGCGTGCTTCTCTCAGCCTGGACCAGTAACAAACAGGCCGTGAGACCACATTTGAAGGTGCACCTCTCTATGGTATGGTATCTGTGGCTCCAATTTCCATCCAATGCACAGAGGAAGTGAAACACTGTCCTGGACACACTACTGACCATCATGCTAACAATAGTATTTGTCATAAGAAGCTGCCCAACGATGTATCCAGTGTGCGACGACTTAGCATTTCTTAAGTGGCTACAAAGGGTGAGGACTGGTATCACCACGGATTTCAAAGTCACTGCTTGGTGGTGATGTAAACGAAGACGGGCCCGACAGCACACATGCACATAAACCAAACTCGCCGCCACTGAGTCAATTCTGGCTCTCAGCGACCCCAGAGCAGAGCTGCCCCTGTAGGTGTCTGAGGCCACACCTCTCTAAGGGAGCAGGGAGCCCGCTCTTCCTCCTGAGGAGTGGCTGGTGGGGGACCTTGCAGTTAGCCGTGCAGTACGTAACCCACCGTGCAACCAGGGGTCCTTGCCCACACAGAAGATGGACAGAAGCACCTATGGATCACGGTGCAACACTGAGTCCTAACTGCCCCCACTGAGAATGGACTCAGGACCAAAGGGACACTGCAAAATCAAACCGGTTTAATGTATGGATACTGAGAATCAAGTGACAGACGGGAAACTACATGGGTGCTCACTCTGACCGCTTCTGGGCCATACGCATTCCCGCCCTCCAATGAAAAAGAGCCCAGTTCTCTGTCATGAACCAAAGTCAAACCTGCAAGACGAGAATGGCCCTGCCCTATCCTCTGGGAACTCCGCCCAGGTCCAGGACTCTCCCAGGGGCACTCTGGCACTCCCTGAGCATGTCCTCCGCTGTTGAAATGCATGTGCCAATGTCCCCGGCCACCCAAAGACGAGGCTCCACCTAGAAACCTGCAAGCTGGAACCAGCCATGCTCGATGCCCACAGCACGTGTCTCGGGCAGAAGGTCCTTGACTTACCTGGGGCTGTTTTGTAGCATGCGGTTCTGGAGGGCAGTGAGGGCGCGTTCTTGGTCCTGGGGCTCTGCGTGCTCTGCGCGACTTGTCTCTGCCTCTTGAGCTCCTCCTCCCTTTCCTGGGCTGCTCGGATCTCTTCTTCGATCATGGACAAAGTCCGCTGCTTCCTCGACCTCAGCTTGAAGGGCCCGACCATCACATCTGATTCTTGAGTGGCCAGGAGGGAGGCTGTGCTTCTCAGCTCAGCTGCCTCTGAGTATTTGCTAAAGTAGCCCCCTTCGGGCCTGGTCTCCTCCAGGCTTACTGGGCCGCTGGGCTGCACCGCCGGCAGGGGCTGGGAGGGCCCCCGTTCCCTGAGCACTCTGTCTTCAGCAGGCAGAATCTTTGGTAATACATCCCTTTTCTCTTGAACAGGAGAAGACACCTGAGGTGGCTCAAACATGCTCTGAGACTTCCCTGAGCTGGGAGGCCCAGCCTCAACTTCCTCTAGGGTCGCTTCAGATCCCTGCCGTTCCGCTCCATCCTTGTTGGATTTGCCGGCTCTATCCACTTGCTCGGCAATGGCTTGTTGAATGGCATTCTGTACCAGGAGGCCGGCCTGATATTCCAAGGGGTCATCGACTGATGGAGCATCCCCCAGAGCGGAAGAAGGAGAATAGAAACCATGGTCGCTAAGTGACTTGGAGACCCCTTCTCGGCCCTCGGAAGGATTGTCAGTTTGTGGCGTCTGGGGCAGAGAAAAATCAGCCAGCGAATTTTCCTGGAGAGCGTTGGCGGTCTCGTTGGAGGCTCCACTGTCGCTGATGTTGTCCATGCTGAAATCATTGGACAGGGTCTCCAGGACGGTGGTATCCTGGGACCTCACGGACAATTCCTCCAGACCGGAGTCAAGCTCCTCGGGGGTCAAAGAGAGGTTGACGGATTTGGAGAACGGATCCAAAATCCCAGGGTCATCATCCTTGACGGCAGTGAGCACTGCCCGGGCACTCGTGAACTCTCGGTCTTCGGCCCACAGTTTAGATAAGGGCCCACGTTTAGAGGGCTCGCTGTAGGATCCTTCCTTTCCCTGAGATGCCACGCCGCCCTGCCCTCCTCCCGCGGGCTGGCTCTCAAGGGCACAGGCTTTCTGCCCCTTGGCTGTGGCTGCAGCACTGTCTTCTGGAGTTCCCCCGACAGAAGGCGGCCTCGAGAGGGTCGCTGGCCTGTCCGAATTGATGGAGCCCAGGGGCTTATAGAAGGGTTTGATGGAGAACAGCCTGGGTGTACTCTGGCCCTTGGCCACCGTGTGCCTGGAATTCTCCATCAGCTGAAACTGCTTCCGGGCAGCAGAGAAATCTATCTGCTCTGTGACGACGTCCTCCTTTGCGTTTTCCATCACGCTGGGACCTTCACGAGAGGGGACCGGGGCTGTGCAGAGCTGCGGTGGGGGCTGCTGCAGCGGCTGCGGCTGCTGCTGTTGCTGCTGCAGGAACTGCTCCTGCTGCGCCCGTCTCTCCTTGCGCTCCTTGTACCTTCTGTGCGACTCCAGATGCTCCTGGTCCAGCTGTTCCTCCAGGGTCTTTTCCTGGGGGGGATTCCACCACTTGGCCGCGATGCCGGGGTTCTTTTTCATCGCCTGGCTCCGGATGAGCTCCCTCCGTTCCTTCTCCAGCTCCAGCATCTCCTCCGAAGGCCTCACTTTGCGGACGCAGTACCGCTCGCTCTCCTTCGCATCGTCCTCAAACAGCTTAGCGGGCTTCTTGTCCTCGTGGAAGGCCCGCAACTCAAACTTGGCCTCCTTCTTCAGTGTGGTGAGCGTGAACTCCCCGTCGCGGGAGGAGCCCCAGGAGCTGGTCGAGGAGCTGGGGCTCACTGGGACCTGCAGGCTGTCTCCCAATGCATCCCGCGGCTGCTCCGCAGGGTGGCCGTTTGCTCTTTCGCCCTCGGCCATGGTGTCGGAGTTGATTTGACTGAGAGAAATGTAAGGGGGGTCCTGCCTGCTGGCTGCTCTCTCGGTGGGCTCGGGTTGGGCGGCTGAGAGGGCAGGTGGGCTCGGGCTGCCCACCAGGATGGCTGTGCCAGGCTCCGGGGAGGCTGTCCCGTTGTACGTCCCCTCCAGAGCAGAGTCACAGCAGTTGGCCTCCAGCACCTCGTCTAGATATTGGATCTCTCTGGCCACGTCGTTAATCAGGGACTCGTGGTGGTCAGCGAGGAGGCCATTGTGGGGGGGTGAGTAGAAAGGGGAGGCGTGGTCCGTGGAATGTGAGGTCAGACTGATGCCGGGAGCACTCTGACATTCTGCAACAGAGACCTCAATTTCCATCTTTGGGGGATCTGAGGCAAGGGAGGTGGTCGCAGAGTCCAGAAGGCTGGCACTGCAGTTGTCTCTCTTGTGTTTCAGCCGGAGGGCATCCTCCGAAAGCGGGGGAGACTTCTGGAACAGAGAGGAAACAGAAGCCGGGGTAAGGATCCATATCTTTTATGAGGCAGCGACTGAGAAATTAAGTCATAATTCACTGGAAGGGAAATCAACAGTGATCAGTTCTTTTGAATAGTGATTTCCCTCCTAATGATCCTTTAAACGTTCCTTTTATTGTGGCTACTGGCACCCAACCCTCTAAATCTAGATTCCTGATTCCATTGGGCTTCTATGGTTGTTCAGAAGGCGTTCAATATAGGCTAGTCCCATTTTAAAACGTGAAAGTAAACTAAGGACTGAAATCATCTGAAGACAACGTTCAAATAGTTAATAA